TAAATCTAACGGAGATACCGAAATTTTTACCTCTTTTAAGTATTACAAATACATCATATTATGCGACAAAACATTACAAGATTAAATTTTATAGGATAAAATGTCACAGCACAATATCAGAAATATAAAACAAATGTTGCTGCACTAAATCACAAAAAAAGAATGAATACTAACATAAATAGAATTTCTCTCTATACCACCAATATTTGTACACCAAATATATTATTGCCAGGAAATTTCGATACCATTAATAACATTTTAATAACATTTTGTTCTGTAATATTTTCGAATAGTATTTCGTCCATTAATATTTAAAGGTAATATCGAAAAAAGAGCAATCAAAAGTGTTATTATATATTATATAAATCTCGGTATCTTCTTCACATTTCAAGAGTTTCCTTAAAAACTCACTTAATTGTTAATTCGACTTATTTCCTACTCCCTCTTTATGGTTGAATTTATTCATAATCAGGTATCGACTGGCTGTAGTCAGAGCCCTGCCAAACCTAGAAAAGCTAGATGACAAATTTGTTACTGCTGAAGAGTTAAACACCGCCTTATCTCGAGGGAAAATTCTCATTCATCCTCTGGAGATGGATGCATCACCGCCACAATCAGGTCCAGCAAGTCCCGAGGTACAAAATATTATTGAATAATAATAAAAGAGCAATTTGCCATTTAATAGTTAACAATTTCCGTGTGTTATTAACAAAAATAATCAGGAAACAGCTGAGTACATTGAGGAAGCTGAGCCCGAGCCCAACAGAAGATACAGTTCGTCTAGTGATCAGGTGAAGAAAAAACTCTCTATCGATAATTAATCCTTGTGGTGGTAAATAAAAACACTGAGAGCTCATTTTTTAAATTATTCAACAGAGAAGTTATGACGAAACACATGGCCACGACGAATACACCGACAGGAGGAATGCTAATTACAATGCATCATCTCCAAATCAATACTCACAAAATAATCATTTTAATTACGAGGTAAAAATCATCATGGCAACAATTTTTAAACAGTCCTGAAACAATTTGAAAACAATTTTTGTTGTATTTTCAATGTGGCAATCCATTCCAGACAATTAATATTCATTTTTCATTATAAATTACCACTAACAGACACAGAATGGCCAAACGAAGGCTCAGCCTCAAGACGAAGGCGTGAGGATGGAGTCCAGGAATGGGGAAAACTTGTCTACTAACACTATTGAGCTTGGGAAGGTATCACCTTATTAAATGCATCATTTATTAATCTTCAACCTATGATTAAAAATGCTTACAATTCATTGGATGTATTAGCCTTGAGTCAGACACAAACGTGTCGATAATTTTAATGAATAATTCTCATTAACAATCCGATTTCAATCAGATGCTGATTAATCTCTATAAAGTAGTTTCACAAGCGAAAGGTGGAATTATATGCCTGAAAAAATGTCGTTCGATGAGATGTTCATGTTGAGAACTGGAGCATGAGATTTTAACAGCTCTGCGTTCTTATCGTTCGTCTTTCTACTTCTTCATGTTATAGAGAATCAAAACTAGCTGTTCAACTTTAGTTTCGAACATCTCAAAATCCGGAGAGTAAAATATAAAACGACAGAAGATCATGTTTAAAATCAAGACAATTTCATTAGATTTCGTATGGATAGTTAGTCGACAGAGGTTGGATGGCCTCGGGGTCATTCGGATTCACGGACGCTTGACCGGGAAAATCCCCGATAGTTTAAGTTTAAGAATTACGATCGACATCTCAACAAGTAAAGACGTGTTTTTCATTGTGTCAAGATAGACATTCAACGGCTTTTCCAAGTACATCACCGAATTACTTTCCACATTAATTCGCTTTTAATTGTCGAGTTAATCAACTATTCACTTGTTATTTGTTATATTAGTTATTCAACAAATAATAGACAATTCAGCAAGTTAAAACCAGACGTTTATGCATTAGACAAGTCCACGCGGTTTAAGCCAAGTAAAGTACAC